AAAAAAAAAAAAAAAAAAAAAAATGAATGGTAGGAGATTACAGAAAATTATTTTATAATATTGCATTTTTTTAATCGTTCAATTTACGTTAGCCAATTTCATTGCAGCCTTCAGACCATCGTTTACTTTTGGTCTAACTAAACTGATTCTAATCGTCTCGCGAAATAACCAGGTCTATCTGCAGTTACAGAATAATGTCAACTTTCTCGTTCAGCACGAGCGTAGGATTAGCAAGCTAGGACAGATTAAGGATGTAACATTTGTTATAGGCGCATAGATCACGATGATGATCCGTAACGAGTACGTGTCGAGCGACAGGGCGATCATATGGGTACGGGCTACACCAAACAGGAGTGATCCGAGTGAGCGAGTGACTGAGTGAGTTGGAGGTCGGAGGAGTATATTGGCCATTTCCGCAGGAAGCCCTAGGTAACCTGTAACCGCCATTGAGGTTGGAACTAACGTGCCACAGATCGCTGTCGTTTCATAACAAGCTGTTCTGAATTCGCCTGTTCATAATCTCGTTGTGTTAATTGATTGGATTCTTCACTTTTCCAGTGTAAAACTTTTTTTTAATTTTTAATTTGGTTTTACATTTAGCAATAACAATGCCTCAATCTTAGGTAATACAAGTATTCTTTTTTTTCAGAGTAGTCTGAATATCCCAGTAATGATCGAACTTTTAAAAGGGGGAGGAAAATAATCCTTCTTTGAAATGTAATATTACATAGCTCATGGTACTCGTTTGTGCTAGATACATGACGTACTTAAGGAAAGAATTTCAACGACTTCTGGAACCGCTACTGAAATGGGGAAAGCGATGGATGAAGTGGAGTCGCAATAAAGGCTGCAATATACCATACAAAGTGAGTATAGGATATAAAATTTTTTGTTTATTCATAAAGTGAAAGGATTTCTTCCATCCCATGTTCGATGGTACGAAAATGTTTATGAGGCATGGCGTACGAACGTCGAAGGTAAATCGAAGCTTTGCGATCGAATAGATATGCATATGTGTTGAAGAATGGCTTGCTTTCGGGTCATCGAAAAGAAAGGCATAGCTCTGTGACTGACAATGGTAACACAATATATAATACAATACATAGGTTGGCTCTTGTCATCCGCAGATTTAATCTGTCGAAATGAGTCATCGTTTTGACTTGGTTGAACAAAGACGGAGAAACAATATGAAACAAATAACTGTGTGTTCATTGATTAAAGAAAACTATATCATTAAACAAAAACTTAGTATTTATCTGCATGAAAGATGGTATAATTTTCGAGTTAGCATCACTATTCTATTCGGGTCATTGTCAATAAAAGGTGTTTGTTTCTAATGGTGTCAAAATGAAGCGTTTGTGTACAGAAATTTTCAGAAAGAATGCATCCTTTCTGGAAACGTCAATATACATAGTTAGTATTTGCTCGAAGCTGGGCCTCGAATTTGCTTTGTACCACCCGACTGTAATATGCGGTTCAACCTAACGCGACAGAAGAGGATGGTTGACTTAACGAAGTGATCTTCAGCTAATGTATAGTTTGAATTCAATCCGACGTTTACACATTTAACACTTTGTTTCTTCATTGACCAATAAATGAAACGATTCTTCCT